AATGGAAGTCCCCTCTGCACAACCGAAAACTCGCTTTCTAAGTGACTCGTGACGGACTCTCCGACACCAACTCACACTAGCTATGGTCCTGAGGCAACGATTGTCGAACGCCTGAAGACGTCTTATTTCTGCTGCCCGAATAGGCCAAGTCTCAGCCATACAACAAACCGGTCCACAGTGTGGCTTGATGCACACGTCTCTTGAGATTTAGGGACATACCGCTTTGAAGCCATAGGTGTCTCAAATTTAAAAAAACGTGGCCCGAATCTTGTAGATTCATACACTGACCTCTTCTATCACACTACAATCAGAACCAATACAACTTCCAAGTTATGTAAAATGCTCCACAACTTCCAGTATCTCTCCCTGGATTTTAAGTGGCGCGTCCACTTACTGCACGTCCACGAGGATGACCTTACGTTTTGTGGGTGTGAAGTGCATACCAAAACACTGTATGACTATGAATGATTCATCCACAAACACCTGCGCCTTATCCTCTTCGAACACGAGAACGATGTCGTATGCATATTCCAAGTCGACAAAGTTTTCGTCACAGGCTATTCGAACACCAGGGTTTTGGAGACCTTCCAGCGTTTGTCTCATGATTTCATCGATCACAAAGTTAAACAGGAATGGGGAGAGTGGGCATCCCTGACGGACACCACTTTGTGTACGGAAGCTTTTGAAGAGCTCACCGTGTACTTTCACACGTCCGGAAGCCTGGGAATACAAAAAGCTTATTACGTTTGCGAACTTCCGGGGTATTCCTTGATGGACAAGCGTGTCAAGCAGAACAGACTAGTCAACCGAGTCCAAATCGCCTTTTAAATCCACGAACACTAGAATTGTGGGTTGTTTACGTATGGCGTTGTTTTAGCACCTGACGTAGTGTGAAGATTTGGTCAACGCAGAGCCTACCAGGACGGAATCCCGCTTGCTGCTCACGAGTCAAGCGTATCCCCCTGTGGTTGCCAAACTCACTACATGCCCCATTTTTGAAAATGGGCACTACCACTAAATCTCCCCAGCTGTCTGGGACAGACTTTTTCCCAAATCCAAGCAAACAGATCAGACAAGCGCTGACTGAGAACTTCACCCCAATCTTCGAACAATGCGGGTGAGAGGACGTCCGGACCAGTCGGTCGGTGGCGCTTAAGAGGACATATGCAGTCATAAACGTCCGTCCGAGGACGTAGGCGGTTCCATGTTCACCATCCAGGGTTGTCACCTGTCATAAACGTCCGTCCGAGGACGTAGGCGGTTCCATGTTCACCATCCAGGGTTGTACGTCACCTGTCGGTTCCAGATGTGTGCAAGCTGATGGCCATGACAAGTGTTGTGGGGGAGGACCAGCTCCCTACTTACGACACTCTAAATCGGGTACGGAAAACAGTACTTTCCTCGGCAAATGATGGTTCGGTTTGCGCAGCGGAGCTTGTGATGGTGGACAACTTCTTCGGTGGAGCTCCCCGTTACAAAACTCCCATCATAAGTGTCGCTTTGCAGATTCACTGATGCCAAGCTACACGAGCTATGGTTTTGTCCGGATGCCAACTGTCCCCAAAAGCCGAACATCACATTTGGACAGATGCCACGTGCAGGACACGGGCCAAACGAAGCCATGCCCTGATTGGTCAGAATGCCAACAAATCCGAGTCGAGCATCTTTGAGTCGACGCTTCTCGCCTCATCACGGAAATTCCGAAACGACCTTGTGGAAGCTATCTGACTACCCTACAAATACGGTTGTACTAATTTTCCTTTGTCTCCATAAAGAACTGTGTAGACATAACGTGCTTTTTGATATACCATATTACGAACTCACGGATTCACGGATTGATACACAGGATCGAGGCTTTTGCCCAAGTTTCCCGGGTCGCTTTTGTTCTCGTCGGTCAGTGGCTGTAGTTCACCTGAAAGGCACAAGTGAAAAAAGGGTGTGGCACTGCTCTTTATGTTCTCAGCGCGGGGCAGTATGCTTGCCAGCGCGAGGATTCACATAAATAAATGTCTAATAGTGCTTTAAATTGGGTTC